GTGTGTTGTGTATTGTGTGTGTGTGTTATGTGTTCAACTGATTCACAACTCAGACCCGCATTCAAATTTTCCCATACACATCTGCAAAGACATGCAGACTGGGGAGAGCAGATTCACACCATAGCCATGGAGAGATATTGCACAGCGGAAGCCAAAGCCAGATATAAAAATTGAGAGCAAAATAAAAAATGTCAGTGCTTTGGCCGCTAAGTGCAGGTAGTCTTAAAACCTTAAAGCAAAAAGTGGCAGCCTACCTATGGAGGGGCGACAACGAGAAACCCCATGCTATAAGTCGGGTCGCATGGGACACCATCATCCAACCGAAACTGAGAGGTGGCCTCGGCATCCTCGACCCCCTCACTCAAACCTATGAGTTGAGCATCCAATGGATAGTGCGTCTAATCTTCGAAAACCTCCTCTTATGGCGACTGCTGGCCCTGGAGCAGATAGCCCGCTTCGCTCCAGAGCCCCCCCCCCCCTCGGTCCACCCTCTGTGATGGCTAGAAGATCGATTTTGGAGAGTGCCACGGGGCCATGGGGGGGGGAGAAGAGGGGGAAGGATGCTTTTTGGCCTCGGTTGCTAAAAATCTGGAGGAAACTCCCTCCCTCGAATCACCCACCCCCACAAAGGAGGGAGGAAGTGGTGAGGCAACCCCTCTTCGGCAACTGTAAGATAACCAATATGCAGAGTCAAATTTGCTGCAGTACCGACACTCCATGGAAAGGATGGGTGAAGAATGGAGTGATTAAGGTGGGGGATCTCTGGGACAAGGAGAACAGGAACTGGAAGAGTCCGGAAGGAATGAAAGAAAGACTGTGATACTGCCATAATGTAGAAACTGCATTAGAGGAAATCACTGAAGCCTTCCCAGTAGAATGGTGGACCATCTTTAGGAGGGGGTCAGTGCTCCGGGAAGGGGACTGGGTGGCTCAGACAGGAGAGACCAACAGAGAGGGGCTGGTACATATGGTAAGTCTAGAGGAGGCGCTTGATTGAATGGTACGGGATAGAGGTGAGCGGGGAGCTAAAGGGGAGTCGGGACCCATTCGAGTGGTCCCTGAATCAGAAGCTACACAGAATCAAAACCCTAGGGGAGGGACAAAACAGGCGGGCATTCTGCCCGGAGGTAGCAGTGGAAGATCACCCCATAGATCCTGAGGAGTGGATATGGAACCCCACCGCACAAAATAACCCCCGCCCAACAAAGCCCAAAACGCTCTCAGACCTCTCTGTGAAGTCATCTTATAGGATGCTAAGAGTTAAACGTTGTCTAAAGGATGTGGTGATAGACAGATGGCAGAGACACCTCAATGTGAAAAGACATCTGCTCACACCGATACGCTGGTTCAGCGACAACAAATGCAAGCCTGCCAAGATAACATCTCTACAATGGCAAATCTTTCACCACTGTCTACCCACAAATGACTGGGTGATTGATCATACACAGTTGGAACAGCAAGCCAGGGCCCACCCATGGTGTCCACGATGTATGTCGGGCTTTCCGAGGAGGAAAAGGGCTGAGACAATTGAACACATCTTCTTGCAATGCCCTGCAGCAGTTCTCACTTGGAGATGGTGGTACAGACTATGGCAGCAAATAGCCCCGGAGTATATGTGGCCGTGGGAGTGGCGGACCATACTCATGGGCGATTGCCCGCCCCTCCAAGGGGACTCTTTCGTCGGGAACATGTTCCATTTGGGTCAAAAAACGATACTATGGATTTTATGGTGGCAACAATGTGCTCTGGCTCTGGACCATGTCTGGGTGGAAGGGCAAGAACGAATAGAACAATTCAAACACCACTTCCAACTAGAACTTATGCATCGATGGGAGGTTGTCAAACTGACACTCGACACCCTTCACAAGGATATATCAGAGCGATAAGGATATATCAGAGCGAATAGTGCAGTTCTCTAAAGAATGGTTGGGAGGGGAGAGGGAGGGATGGGTGGCAGAAGTCTGCTGGTCAGGGGACTGGGATGGGAAGGAAGGAGGGGAGGATGGACAGGGTAGTAGAGCAGTGCCCCGGTATTACCATATGAGGTTTAAGGAATGGCTGACAGTTGACCCCAACTTCCCCCTCAGGTCTGCAAAAGAATTCCCTGATTTGTTCCCCCACAACTCGCTGTCTTTAGAGATGAGACAATAATAAATGACATTGTGCCTGAACATGTTCCTAATCAAATACTCTAATCGAGCTCCAGTCTAGCGACCCCGATCTAGTCTAGCAGGGTTTCTTGTAGAAGCAGGAAGACATTGGGTATGGCTTCGGGAGTGCAAAGGATCGATGGATTTAGGGGAGAGGCAGGGAGACAGAAGGAGATCCCACTGGTGCCTCGCATTGGCTCCTCCTGAATCCCTGGCCAGGTCAAGGGATGAAATGCTTGCCCCACACTCATGTGCTTCTTCAGAAAATTCTTCTTACGTAGCTAATAGGGACGTCGATGCAACAACCTGCTCAGTTAATCCTCTGGAAACCAGAGTAATCAATGCTGGCAGGCTTTTTCCAGATACCTTTCCAGACTGTTTTCTCCTCTTATTCACTTCTAAGGTATCCTGTATAAGGGACGCTGGACCCGCTTTCCAGCAGGTGACGCTCCCCACCAATAGATAGAGCCTCTCTACAGCCTACAGGTCCTAGCGGTGTCGGGGCAAATACCTTGACAAGGGTATTTGCCTGGGGTTGTAAAAGTCGGACCTTGTCCGACTCTTTCATTGGATTAAAGAACTTGATGAGACTGACGTTTGCCAAAAATCTATTCACACCTGACCTATGACTGAAAGACAGTTTTTGAGCTTTAGTCCGGACGCTTGTGGCGTCCGAGAGTAACGACAGTAACTCGCAGTGCTCCGTTTTTGTCGAAGCCACAGAAGCGCGCGGACATGGGAACACTAAAGTTAGA